CCAAGACTTGAAAGTTTGCAACCTAATATGTTGAAAAAATAAACATATGCACATGAGTAACAAGAAATTACAATTAAGGCATATTATGAATTTTATTAAATGTGAATTTGGAAATTCATTGCTTCATATGGAATCTGTTTCAATCACAAATATTTTGAATGGAAAATTATAATCTCTGATTTAAAATTTCCCGCCATTGTTTAAAAATGAAAAAGATTTTCTAAACTATAAATATTGAAAAGATACATGTATGTAGAAATACAATCACTAAAACCGTGTATACTTGCAAAGAAAATTTGAAAAAAAAACTAAAATAATGAGTGTTAAAAAGTAAAAATACATTTGTACTTACTGTTAGAAATGGTTATATATACAATGATATACATGTAGTTCCCTCCATTTTAACTGAATCATGAAATACACATGTTTAAAAGTTCATATTTCCAGAAAACTTTTGTAAATTTGTCCAGTTTAGACTTATTTGATCTAATATCCAATGCTCAAACATAATTTTTCAAGTTATAACTTTTAAGCAGTTATAAGCACTAATAAACATTATCTTTCAATGAGCTGTTCAAATGACCCGCCTGGAAGGAGTGTTCTGACCTGTGATTTGTTCTGCAAGGGTATTAAGTTACTTGGGAACTACAGTGTAATAAAGTATGTTGTAAACCTGCTTTACCTCTTTCTATTTTCTTATATCAGATAGAAGAGTTTAACTTTGGTGTTTATGAAAACAGTGGGTTCCACTTGAGGGGTCATAAATATTTAAATTGTGGCTGATGCTGATTTGAATGTCCCAGAAATTAATCACTATACCATGTATACATTTATGTATAAGTTACTTCTACACAGGATGAATATATAGATAAAATATATGCTTCAAAAGAGATACATAATAAATTTATCATCAATTAATAAAGAAACATAAGTGCATAACAATTACATTTGTTCTTAAATTTAACTTGTTTCTCTTTAATTTTGTATTTATTTTTTTTCTAACTTAGGGTAATATATAATAATGAACCACTCAGATCTGAGGCTTGATATGAGATACCTTGAAAATAATGAGAGTTAAATGAAAAAATACCTTAATGCGTTTTCAATGCCAAAGTGTGGCAATGGAGTTGCATGTGTTTTTTTCTTTTTTTTTTTTGTTTTTTTTTTTTTTTTTTTTTTTTTGCAATAAAAAAAGAAACGGTTGAGCTCTTGAGGGGCTTATTACGGTTTCATTTTGTTTAACTATAAGTGTTTATTTTGCTAACTGCTACTTTTAATTACAATGAGTACACATGTATGACCAATTTCAATGCTAAGTAATTAAATTCATTTGTTCTTGCTGTTTCAACAATTTACAATTGTGTCAATGCAATATTTTAAATTGTCTTTATTTTCATTATGTCTTAAAACCAGAAAACTGTCTTATATTAAAAAGATTATTTTTTATGCCTTGTAACTTAGGAAAAAATATTAAAGTTAAATGTATTAAGTGAAGTATATGTAAATGCAGAAATAAAATGAAAACTTCCTAAGTCCAAAACTTTCTCAAAAATGACTAAGTGTTTTCCAGAGTAAAACTCCTTGAAAATTGTCTAAGTGTTAACTTTCCAGAGTTTCAAGAACTGTTTCATGGTTATTTCTTTGATGAAAAAGTCAAGTTCCAGAGTTCTCCATGAAAATTGTTCCAGAGTACTCTGTAAATAGTGTGGAAAAAGCTTGTTTCCATGAAAATTCATGGAAATTCATGGAAAATCAGTTATTTTCCAGAGTTTTTCCAGAAATACTGTGGAAAATCTACAGACGGGTAAGTTGGTATAGGGCAGAGTTGACCCTTTACCATTTTTATTCACAGGAGCTTGACATTTAAAATAGAAGCAAAAAATTATCAAATAACGGCAAATGTACCTCTCTGAAATAAACTCATGTAATTCAACGTGATATACATGTATCATAATTCTGTGGGATAAAGTTGAAATATTACCTGGCATTTCGCTTCATTTTTGTAAACGGTTGATTATGATATCTGACCATTTTGTTTACAGTAGGGTAGTTACATAAATCTCGATATTTGCGAGATTTGCTTTCATTGGCGGCAAATAACCACGTGATGTTGATGTCTGCTTTATATGCGCATCCTGTATGTGTGATTTTTCTATTAATTATCACTAAAATCCGGTTAACATGCGCAAAAACCATTTAACTTGATTAAAACTATTTCTGTGTTATTTCAATTGGAGTATATCAAATTTTACCGAAAGGTAAACATTTTTTTTCAAAGACAAAGTCCCAATATTTTGTGAAATCTCTCTTGAAATTGGGAATTTTTTCTGCTGCTTTCTGAATTTTTTTTTTTTTGAATTGTTAAGAGGCCTTATATCAGTCCCTGTTATAGAAGGAAAAGAAGCCCTGACGTGTGATTGATCATTCATGAGTGCATTCCATGCATAAAATTAGGGTGTTCTATTTCAAGTATAACATAAATAGCTACAAACCAGGGAAGGGATTTTCCGTATGTCACGCTCTTACTGCATGCGCACGGAAATTACTAATTATCGAACGTATCAAATGGAGGCGTGGAAACTGGTTTAAAAATAATGTTTGTTCAATTAATGAACATTTGTAAAACATTTAATTATATGGTCACTAGTTTACAATTTATTCCATTTTTTTAAATATCGGGTATCGAATGCCAACCACAGGTGCTTGAAGCAAACTTTTTTATGTTCTATATGGCCTATATACTAAGTATATACTATAATCTTAATATAAATATATATAATAAAGGCTGATTATGTAAAATATTTGATAAAGTGACAAGCGCCTGTGATGCCAAATGTTTTCAAACATTTTTCTTCCAAAACGAAAATGAAAACATAATCTTTTTGTTTTGTTTGTTTAGATATTGATAGAGTATCAGGATGGCACATCAACTTCAGTTAGAGAAGGAAAAATACAGACAGTGGGTAAAGGCTGGTTTAGGACTTGGATATTTAAAGGAGGGACTGGCACAATTCTGTAATGACATAGCTGACCAACAACATAAGGATATCTTACAAAACATTCGGTCTAGACAATCACTACCGTCAAATGTGACGTGTGGCAGCTGTCAAGTTGAAACTCTCAAACCAGACCATACGTCAGAAAAGAATAATGGAAAGAAAGTTTGTCCTCTTGGGCAAATAAAATGCAGCTGTTGCTTTAAGGGCAAAATTGCTTGTCCGAACAACATATGTGGCGCCATCTATGACTATATTGTTGAGAATCAAGCATCCCCACCACCTGCACCTAACTGGAAAATCACCGATGCTCAACAGTGGTCGACAGACCCTTGGAGCATTTGTAAATGTTTTATAAATGCTCCAGGGTACGAGCAGAAGCAATCTGCTGGTGAAACTGATTGTACTGGGTTATTAATTCTAATGATAAATAACCAGTATTTTCATAGCCACATTGAATGCAATGTCATAAAAACAGACAACCTTTTTTCAAAGGTAAATCATTATTTTATTACTATCGGAAATTTTTCTATATAAACAAAGAAGGCCCGAAGCGTGCATTATTCTACAACAATGCACTCAGAATTGATATAATTTTCCTATAATATATTCGGTATCAAAATAAAGAGAAAATGAAAATATAAGGATTCACAACAAATGTATAGAAATTTACCAATCACGTTTTGATGTAACAATTCACAAGGCTTGTGGTTAATATTTACTGATAACAATTGTAGATTTGTATATAGCACTATTTGTATACAGGCCTTATTTTCCCAATGCAAACTTTGTCCTCTTTTTCCCAATCCAAAAAAAAAAACCCTATCCCGAAGTCGGTGATTTGAAAAAGGTACCATCTTTTTGTATTTGGTGTGGACGTTCTTGATGTTTCGGATATCTTTTGAATCCTTACCAGTTTCAGTAATAATATTTTATTTAGCTTTGTTTAAAGAGTTTGCACATCTTATATGCTTGTATATTTTTTCACAATTAATGAATTTCACAATTATTTTTTTTCCTAAATTGAATCAAAAATTAAGTGTAAGACACAATTCCCCCAAATTTGCAATGAATGTATACATGTAAGAAAAAAGGCCTGGTATAATTCATGATTGAGTCTTTTATGAAGGTTATTACCTAAACAAGTGTCAACAAAACAATTTTGATTGTTTAACAGTTTATATATGCATGGAACAATATTGAACCTGTGTTTTCTATTCAATAGGTACATCAGTATAGAAATAATATTTTCCACTCAAGCAGTATGGAATTGGAAGAAAGTGAGGCCAATTCTTATATTGACGATATGATAGCAGTTCTTAAAGATGGTAAGGAGTTATTTCAACAATCAGATGCCCAAATAGCGGTGAAAAAACTTCAAGATGTAAGTGTAAATAATGAATTATATCAGTTTTTAGTCTTTATGGAGTTAAATTATAATGATTTAAGATAACATGCCACTTAATTCAGGACAAAGTTAAGGTAACAGAGATTGAAGTGGTAATAATAATTCCCTTAAGTTAATTGATAAAGTCACATGAAAATATATATGTACCTATAAAATGTTAAATTATAAACAAAAGAGATCTTAGTTTGTAAAGAACTTCTAAATTCCAAAAACTTTGAAATCTGAACAATTTTAAATTTTATATAATTCATACCTCTGAATTTTTGAGGACTTCTGAATTCTGATATTGTGGTAAAGTTTGGATTATAGCAATACAAATTTACTTCCAATATCCGGACATTGAAAAAGGTTGTAAAGGATTATCATACTTGGGAATAAAACCTGGAAAATATTTTTATCTTCCAATTAACTGTGACCATATACCTTGACCCCCACTAGAACATAAAACTTTCAAACACGTCAAACCCTTGATATAATTGAAGGCTTAAGATAAAGTCTGACCTTATATATAATATGTTGTTTAGAAAAGTAAATATTATAAATCATATAGATACATTTTTATGAAAGAAAATGTTACAAAACTGATTTTTTTCATCAGCTGAAGAACAAAGATTTCATTATTACGACTGAAAGCTTTGAAGAGATTCTGAGGCAAATCAAAGAAGAAATGGGAAAAGTATTAAAATCAACAGAAAGTTCTGTAACTCAATATGATGATCTGAAGAGGAAGCTATTAGAACTTGAAACCAAGATGTCTGACCAAAAGAAGGGAAAACTGGAAAATGAAAAAGAACTTGAAGAGATAAAGAAAACAATTACAGAAGAAAAGAAGGAAAAACTTGAGATGGAAATTGAGCAAGCCAAATTGAAAGAGAAACTTACTGTTCTAGAGACACTTGTTTCAGAACAGAAAGAGGTAAAACAAATTTCTTTTTGATTGTTAATGTAATGATGTATTTGTACACATGTACTTGCAAAGGTCAAATAATATAATATATCTTGTTTGTTTTGTTAGGGTTTTACCCGTTGAAGGATTTACTTCAATCATTTCTTAGTTTTCTCAATTCAGCACTGATAAATGTTGAGTTTGTTGTCCAAAAAAAGATTTTGTTATACCCCCGCACAACAAAGTTGTAAGGGGGTATACTGGAATCAGCTTGTCCGTCCGTCCGGCCTATCGTCGGTTTTTTCTTGTCCGCCCAATAACTTAAGATTCCTTTGACCCTTAGTCTTCATATTTGGCATGGAGATTAGTCATGATTAGAAGATTACCCCTATTGATTTTGAGGTCACTAGGTCAAAGGTCAAGGTCACAGGGGCCTTGACTTCAAAAAGCTTGTCCGCCCAATAACTTAAGATTCCTTTGACCTACAGTCGTCATATTTGGCAGGGAGGTCATTCATGATTAGTAGATGACCCCTATTGATTTTGAGGTCACCAGGCCAAAGGTCAAGGTCACAGGGGCCTTGACTTCAAAAAGCTTGTCCGCCCAATAACTTAAGATTCCTTTGACCCATAAACTTCATATTTGGCATTGAGGTTAGTGGTGATTAGTAGATAAACCCTATTGATTTTTAGGTCACCAGGTCAAAGGTCAAGGTCACAGGGGCCTTGACTTCAAAAAGCTTGTCCGCCAAATAACTTAAGATTCCTTTGACCCATAGTCTTTATATTTGGCATGTAGGCTAGTCATGATAAGTAGATGACCCCTATTGACTTTGAGGTCACCAGGTCAAAGGTCAATGTCACAGGGGCCTTGACATCAAAAAGCTGGTCCGCCCAATAACTTAAGATTCCTTTGACCCGCAGTCTTCATATTTGGCATGGAGCTTAGTCATGATTAGTAGATGACCCCTATTGACTTTGAAGTCACCAGGTCAAAGGTCAAGGTCACAGGGGCCTTGACTTCAAAAAGCTTGTCCGCCCTATAACTTAAGATTCCTTTGACCCACAGACTTTATATTCAACATGGAGGTTGATCATGACTATAAGGTGACCCCTATTGATTTTGAGGTCACTAGGTCAAAGGTCAAGGTCACAGGGACCTTGACAAATAAAAAGCTTTTCTTCTCAATTGCTAAAAAATGTCCTGTCCGCAATGTATTGATTTTGACATTTTCACATTTGAAGCATGTAGAATACATAACTTAGCAATGCACTGGCTTAGTACGTGCTTCAATGCATGGCTTCACATCAGTGTTGTTATATTTTCTGGTCCTTCGGGATCATTGATGCCAGCACTTTTAAGTGTTGAGAATTGAGTACCGCTCAAGCCGGTGCTAGGGGGCGTGAGGGTTGTTGCACTTATTCATTATCTCTCATGTACAGACTTAATCAAACCGAGTCTGCAATTCTTATGTAATTTTGTTGGGATTAATGCTTCCGAGGGATCACTTTGTTTCCAGAATTTAGTAACCTCGGATTTGGCAGGGAGGTTGTCCTTGAGCTCTAAATGGCCACTGTTGATTCTGACAATGTGGTATGCGGGGGTATTCACGCCATGATGGTGGCAGTTCTAGTTATATTTAATATAAGATAAGGTATAGAACTATAAACTTTGATAATCATGTTGATAATTTTAGCTTCAAATTTGTACCACTTCGAAACAATTTTTATGCCCCCACAATGTGGTAGCATATAGCGTTGCACTTGTCCGTCCGTCAGTCCGTACGTCCCGAAATCTTGTGAACGCAACTCCTCTTAAACCGGATGGCAGATTTTGCTTAAACTTACAGGGATGAACAACCTTAATGTGTAGATGGTAGTAAAGGAAGGAATTTTTGCTGCGACTAAATTTAACTGAATAATGGCCCTTTGTTGATTTTTTTCACTAGATACTATGTAGAAATTTTGTAAACGCAACTCCTCTTAAACCAGATGGCAGATTTTGCTTAAACTTACAGGGATGAACAACCTTAATGTGTAGATGGTAGTAAAGGAAGGAATTTTTGCTGCGACCAAATTTAACAGAATTATGGCCCTTTGTTGATTTTTTCACTATATACTATGTAGAAATTTTGTGAACGCAACTCCTCTTAAACCGGATGGCAGATTTTTCTTAAACTTACAGGGATGAACAACCTTAAGGTGTAGATGGCAGTAAAGGAAGGAATTTTTGCTGCAACCAAATTTTACAGAATTATGGCCCTTTGTTGATTTTTTCACTATATACTATGTAGAAATTTTGTAAATGCAACTCCTCTTAAACCGGATGGCAGATTTTGCTTAAACTTTCAGGGATGAACAACCTTAATGTGTAGATGATAGTTAAGGAAGGAATTTTCGCCGTGACTAAATTTAACAGAATTATGGCCCTTTGTTGATTTTTTCACTAGATACTATGTGGAAATTTTGTGATCGCAACTCCTCTTTAACCGGATTGCAGATTTTGCTTAAACTTACAGGGATGAACAACCTAAATGTGTAGATGGTAGTAAAGGAAAGAATTTTTGCTGCAACTAAATTTAACAGAATTATGGCCCTTTGTTGATTTTTTCACTATATACTACGTAGAAATTTTGTGAACGCAACTTCTCTTAAACCGGATGGCAAATTTTGCTTAAACTTACAGGGATGAACAACCTTAATGTGTAGATGGTAGTAAAGGAAGGAATTTTTGCTGCGACCAAATTTAACAGAATTATGGCCCTTTGTTGATTTTTTCACTAGATACTATGTAGAAATTTTGTGAATGCAACTCCTCTTAAACCGGATGGCAGATTTTGCTTAAACTTTCAGGGATGAACAACCTTAATGTGTTGATGGTTGTACAGGAAGGAATTTTTGCTGCGACCAAATTGAAGAGAATTATGGCCCTTTGTTGATTTTTAGTTTTCAACTTGTGGCACATGTAGTCCAAAACATATTTGACATAGAGTCATAAGATTGACAGAACAGTGGCGTGTGGGGGCATCCATGTCCTATGGACACATTTCTAATTTTCTTTAAGAATATAAAATGTGACCCGATGACCTACTCCTTAATTGCAGAGCATTTTCTTACAAAGAATATTGGGCGAGTGATTAAATATGATCATGGTGATTATTTTGCTAAAATATAAAAATAAAATAAAAATATGTACACAATTCTGCACATACCTTTGGGTATTAAATACTATTAATACTTACATCTTAATAACATCTTGTTGATTAGTTTTGAACTAAAATGTCTTTTTTTTTTGGAGTAAAGAAGATGATTTGTTTTTGTAGGAGATGGCAAAAATTAAGACACAAACTTCTTCAGATCAAAGTCAGACAGAGTATGAGCAAACCAAGTTAGGTAAGTTAATATTTGTTTTGATGGTGTACATACAAGTGTATGATATTGTAATTAATATAAAAACAAAACATAGATCATAGTTACTTTATCATTTAAGAAATTTATATAATGATTTAGTACTCCGGATCATATAATATCATTGAATTAATAATGTTATTTAATTTTTGCATTATACCCTACCACATAATGTGGTTGGTGCTATAGACCCTTTCATTTAAGACCGTATTCAAGTTGTCGCCCTTTGATGACGTCATTGTGGGATACGTAGGACATTGTCGATACGATTAAGTACATTAATAGATGGATATAAACATCTTAAACCTTTCTTGTAAGATTGGCAGATTGAAATTGCCAATAGTTTGTGTAATTGAATAAGATATTACATAAAAAGGATAGTGCAATGAATAAAAATGTTTACTATAATAAGGTTAACGATTTGATTTAATACTAGACCAAATGGCTGGTTAACTGATCATGGTTACTATTTTCGTTTGATTCTAAATAATGGAAATTGTCGCACCGTGTTTTACCAGGCAGTTAAATTGTACTAACTTGCTTATACCAGAGATGTAGATAATTATGTTTTTGCTGCTAATATATGATATGCCAAGAGATATTTTAGGTTTCAACAAGATTGCATTTGAGAAAAATGCTATGCCACCGCATTAATACAACACTAAATAGTAGTGTAGGAACAGATTTTTGTTGTTTCTTTACAATTGAAGATTGTCATAATGCATAGATCCCTGACCTATCTTATTCTTATTATCAGATTAGTGGTTAAATCTATTCTTTCTCCCTTTAAGAAAACATTTGTTTTATTTTCTGTTTTTACTATGTGTACATAATTAGCTCATAATCACTGTCCCTGGGCAGGGCCAATTTTGACACCAGTGGAAAAATTTGAACAATTTTGGTAGAGGACCTATAGAGGATATTATAAAGCAAACATCAAAGCTCTATGCCTTGTACCTTCAGACAAAATATTTTTTTTTACTATATGTACATAATGAAAATCAATGACCCCTGGGGCGGAACCAAATTTGACCCCAGGGCTTTAATTTGAACAATCTTGGTAGAGGTTTACTTCACAATGTTTCATGCAAAATATCTTAACTCTAGCCTTTGTAAATTTAGAGAAGATGATTTTTTTTAAGTTTTCACTATATACATATAAAGAAAACCTATGGCCCCCGGGGAGGGGCTAATTTTGACACTAGAGGCAAAATTTGAATAACTTCGGTAGAGTACCTATAGATGATATCATTTAACAAATATTAAAGCTCTAAGTCTTGTACCTTCAGACAATAAGATGTTTTTAATTTTTTACTAAATGTATATATTGAAAATCAATGACCCCCGGGGCGGGGACATTTTTGACCCCAGGGCTATAATTTAAACAGTCTTGCTAGAGGTTCACTACACAATGTTTTATGCAAATATCTAACCTCTAGCATTTGTCAATTGCTAGATTTTTTTTATGCCCCCACAATGTGGGAGCATATAGCGTTGCACTTGTCCGTCCGTCAGTCCGTCCGTCAGTCCGTACGTCCCGAAATCTTGTGAATGCAACTCCTCTTAAACTGGATGGCAGATTTTGCTTAAACTTCCAGGGATGAACAACCTTTATGTGTAGATGGCAGTAAAGGAAGGAATTTTCGCTGCAACCAAATTTAACAGAATTATGGCCCTTTGTTGATTTTTCATTATATACTATGTAGAAATTTTGTGAACGCAACTCCTCTTAAACTGGATGACAGATTTTGCTTAAACTTCCAGGGATGAACAACCTTTATGTGTAGATGGTAGTAAAGGAAGGAATTTTTGCTGCGAACAAATTTAACAGAATTATGGCCCTTTGTTGATTTTTGGCACATGTAGTCCAAAAAATATTTGACCTAGAGTCATAGGATTGACAGAACAGTGGCGTGTGGGGGCATCCGTGTCCTATGGACACATTTCTAGTTTAAAAATGTTTTTACTGTAAGTTGTCTGGTAGACCCTAACCAAGTTTGTTCAAATTATAGCCCTGGGGTCAAAATCGGCCCTGCCCCGGGGGTCATTGATTTTCACTATATGTACATATATAATCACTGAAAAGCCTCCTGTTACAAGTTCAAAGTGCTATGAAACTATGAAAAATGCTTCAATACTAATCAAACTTGGAACAAATGTTGACTGGACCATTGCCGTTGTAACGACGTGCTCAGTTTTAAATTTCCTGTTACCATGGCAACGAGGGGTAATCTCAAAATTACCAAAAATCACTATTTTGCCTCGATTTTTTCCATCAAAATTTATTTCAAACTGCTGCAACTTCTCAAGGGATTGAGATAGAGTCAAAGGCTTTTCAGCGTTGGTTACACGTTACAGCATGATCGACCTGGGGTCATTTTTAGCCTCTCACAAGTCCAAAATTTTTTTGACGATGAGGGGGACTCCGCCCCCCTTCAAACCCCCCTAACAGAAGGGGGCACATTCCCCTTCTGGCAACCCCCTGATGTATCTTTTGGATGGGGCGGCGCCGAAAAAGTGCTTAATTTTTTTAGCAACATTTCTCAAACGAAAACATGTCTTTGGGGCCCAAATAGGACATTTTGTCACTATTTGAGGCCTAAAAAAGGGGGGTCGAAAGTGTGTTGATCGCGTATATATGAGGTAAAGGGTTAAAATGACATCTCCTCATAAACCGCTGAGCCAATTTCATTCAAACTTCACAGGACTGTTCCTTTGGTGGTCACCTTTACAAATTCTTCAAAGAATTTAATTCCATGCATAACTCTAGTTGCCATTGCAACCGATAGAAAAAAACTTAAAATATCTTCTTTAAAAAAAAAACCAAAGACGTAGAGCTTAGATATTTGTAATGAAACATCTTCTAGTGAGTGTCTATCAAGTTTGTTAAAATAAAAGCCCTGGGGTCAAAATTGGCCCCGCACCGGTGGTCTTTGTTTTTCCCTATATGCATATAGTAAAACTTATAAAATCTTCTTTTAAAGAACCCAAAGAGCTAGAGCTAAGATATAAAACATGAAACATCTTCTAATGTGTTTCACCAAAGTTTGTACAAATAAAAGCCCTTGGGTTAAAATTGGTCCTGCCCTGGGGGTCATTGATTTTCCCTATATGCATATAAGTAAAACTTATAAAATCTTCTTTTAAAGAACCCAAAGAGCTAGAGCTAAGATATTTAGCATGAAACATGTTCTAATGGGTGTCTACCACATTTGTTCAAATAAGAGCCCTGGTGTCAAAATTGGCCCCGCTCCAGGGGATCATTGATTTTCCCTTTATGCATATAGTAAAAACTTATAAATCTTCTTGCCACGGGGCGGATATTGATTTTATTTATGCGTAAAGCAAAAATTTAAAGGTTTGTTCAAATAAAAGTCCAGGGTCAAAATTGGCCCTGCCCCGGGGGACATTGATTTTCCTTATATGTGTATAGCAAAATCTTAAAAATGTTCTTTGAAAAAAACAACAAATAGCTAGAGTTTAGATATTAAGCATGAACAATCTTGTAGTGAGTGTCTTCAAGGTTTGATAAAAAAAGCCCTGGGGGCAAAACTGGCCCTAGAGGTGTCATTGCTTTGAACTATATATGTATAGTTTAAACTTAAAAAATCATTTTTTAAAAAACTCAACAAGCTAGACCTTAGATGTATAGCATGAAACATCTTGTAATGGATGTCTACCAAGTTTGTTCAAATAAAAGCCCTGGGGTTTAAACTGGCCCCACTCTGGGGGACTATATACAGGTGAGCGACTTCAGGGCCATCATGGCCCTCTTGTTTAGCTCGACTATTCGATAAGAATAAGTAGTGCTATTGTATTCACCCGAGCGTCGGCGTCGGCGTAACCACTTATGTTAAAGTTTTTGTAATACCTCAAATATTTTCAAAGTCCATTGACATATGGCTTTGAAACTTTGCACACTTGTTCACCATTATGACCCCAACATGTAGACAGAAGGAGGTAACTCTATCAAGCATTTTGACAGAATTGTGCCCCTTTTTCGACTTAGAATTTACGTTAAAGTTTTTGTAATAGATCTACCTCAAATATTTTCAAAGTCCATTGACATATGGCTTTGAAACTTTGCACACTTGTTCACCATCATGACCCAAACTTGTAGACAGGAATAGGTAACTGTATCAAGCATTTTGACAGAATTATGCCCCTTTTTGACTTAGATTTTACGTTAAAGTTTTTGTAATACCTCAAATATTTTCAAAGTTCATTGACATAATGTTTGAAACATGTTGAAATTTTATACTCTTTAATAGCATAATAGGACTCTCTCCAAGGCTTATAACTGTAATATGGATTTAAAGAAAAAAATTGCCTTTTTCTTTACATAGAAAATTTTACCTTTTAATCAAGGCTTTTTTTACTATCAAGCACTAAGAATAGTCGAGCGTTGCTGTCCTACCGACAGCTCTTGTTATTTTTTTATTGTCTTGATATTGAATTTATGTATTCATAAGTATTTTTGTCATGTTATAATCATAATTAAACGATCAGTATTTACGCATTTAACTTTTCAATTAGCTAACATTAAACGCGGTCTGTATAGTATAATCCCCCATTTACGCCACGTCCAGTAAGGAAAGTAACTATTCCCTAACTTTTATCGCTAAGATGAAAGGGTCTATACTGGAATTACTTTGCGGCATCATTAGGTCAGTCATTCCGACTATCTGTTTCCATTGTGCCCGCTCTATTAATCCTATATATAAGATTTTCTTCAAATGCTTACCTCAACCTGTCTACCTGCAGAACCAATGCCACCACATTACCAGCTCAAGGTCAATATTACACTTGGAGGACAAATGCCAAACATCAAACTTTTTTTTCTTTTTTTCTATAAATTCTATACCCCGAGTGTGATTTTCCTTAAACATGCCTCAACAAGGCAATGTGCAAAATCAATGTCTTGTTTGTTTGAAAAAGGTAAAAGGGTCATTTTTGGGAGGCAAAGGTAAAAATATAAACATTGTCCTTTTCCCTTTTATGCATCCTAAAAATTCCTTTAAAGGATTTTTAGTTTCACCTGCAACAAAGTAAACTGGTGATTTTTGTAAATCCCCTTTTCCCCGCCCGGGCCCGTATGCCCCGCCCTTCTTTCCGCCCGAAAACCTTTTACTTTAAACAAACTTTCTCATTAAACGTTTAACCCAAATTTTAAAATCCCCCCCACGGGAAAAATTGTTTTTTTGGGTTTAGCCCAACTTTAAAAATTTTTTCAAAAAATTTTAATTTCCAACAAAAACCCTCTGGTTGCCATGCCCAACCCAAAAAAAAACTTATCTTTTTTTAGAAAACCCCGTAAGACCTGACTTAAATTTTTGGCCCCATAAAAAACATCATCTATTTCAGTGTCTACCAAGTTTGTTCAAATAAATGACCTTGGGTCAAAATTGGCCCCTCCCAGGCAGGGGGTGTGTCATTGATTTTCCTTATTTGTAGATAGTAAAAATTTTAAAATCTGCTTTAAAAAAAAACAAAATAGCTAGAACTTAGCTTTTAAGCATGAAACATCATCTAGAGGGTGTCTACGAAGTTTATTCAAATAAAAGCCATTGAGTCAAAATTGGCCCTGCCCCAGGGGGTCATTGTTTTTCCCTTTATGTATATAGTAAACACATATTCTTTAAAAAAAACAAATAGCTAGAGCTTAGCTATAAAGCATAAAACATCTTCTAGTGGGTGTCTACCAAGTTTGTTCAAATAATAGGCCTGGGGTCAAAATTGGCCACGCCCCAGGGGTGATTGTTTTTCCTTTTATGTATATAGTAAAACTTTAAAAATCTTCTTTTAAAAAACATTTGCAGCAAGAGCTTATATATTTAGCATGAAACATCTTCTAATGGATGTATACCATTTTTGTTCAAATAAAGGCCCTGAGGTAAAAATTGGCCCCGCCCCGGAGTTCATTGATTTTCCTTATATGTATAGTGTAAAAACTTTAAAATCTTTTTAGAGCTAGGGCTTAAATATTTATCATGAAACATCTTCAAATGGGTGTCTACCAAGTTTGTTCAAATAAAAGCCCCTGGATTAAAACTGGCCCCGCCCCGGGTAAATAAAGGTGAGCGATTTCAGGGTCATCACGGCCCTCTTGTTTTAAATTGGCATAACTGTTTACAGCAACATGAAAAGCCATGCCACAGTTGTGCCAGTTCAAGGTCAAGGTAACACTTAAAGATCAAAAGTCATATATCAAACATTTTCGTTTCTGCTTTATAAATTCTACAATTGCCAAGGATTTTCTACAAACTTGGCACTGATCACCTTATGGCAATGTGCTGAAACAAGGCTACTGCCTCAACAGCTCAACGTTAAGGTCACCACGTTGACTCTTAAAATGTACTTTATCCTTTTAGGATCTTGATGTGAGGATGTTTTTATTAAGATTATTTGTAAGTATTTCTGAGTTTAAGGACTGCTCAATAAATTTTCAGTTTGTCGTACTCAATTGATGGAACATTATCGCAGTGATGTACTTAAAGTATCAGCAATACCTTTACAACCAGATGAAGAAAATTATAACTTCAGTGACATTTATATAAGACCCACTATAACAAATAAGATAGAAAAGAACAGAAGGGAGTCTGAGGAGAAAGAAATAGAGTCCATGTCAGAGATTTTCACAAAGAACGGAGAACCCCAGAAATTTATTTATGTTGTTGGAGATGCAGGTCTGGTAAGAGTAGTTTCTGTAAATATTTGATCAACTGTTGGTGTATGGCACACAGTGATGGACACAATAAAGATGATGAGTTTGAAGGAGTCAATGAAATGAAGAAATTTGATTTCATGTTTTATATTTCTCTAAGACATAACATAAAGATCCGAAGTATCCAAGATATGCTTGAAATGCGATATGATAAGATAAAAAAATTAGGTAAACTTCTGGAAAATGATTCTGAAAAGATGATTATTTTGCTTGATGGTTTAGATGAATGGTCTTTTGACAGTGAGATTAGGAATGAGTTCCAGGCAGGCCTTCCTGGACGTGACTTTACAAAGAAATACACCATTGTTACTACATCACGGCCATGGAAAATTCACAGTTTGAGAGTAAGTAATAGAGAGATTCATCAATTATTGAAATTAGAAGGGTTTGATGAAAGACATGAAAAAGAAATGATTAAGAAAACAATAACAGCACTGGACGAATCATTAGATCCTAGTGAGTGTGAACAAGAGCTTAAAGAACCGTCTGTGGTTAGCCTGAAACAGGTACCAATTATGCTGCAGCAATTGATTTGTCTATGGTGTGATGGTAAACTCAATAAAACCTCAAGGTGTGCTATTTATACTGGTATGTTAGAACTTTTATTTCACCTGGAATATCAATAAAACTTTAAGTAATAATACAGAACGTATGAAAAGTTCTCAGAAATGTTGAACTCCCCCAGTATTTAACAGATGTAAAGAGATATGTAGACTAAATAGTCATCTTATATATGGTGTGTCGCACTTGGCTTATGAGACATTGTTCAATTATCCGAAGGATAAGCCCTTAACATTTTGACAAATCTTGTTTGATGATTTGAAAATATCACATGCAGTGCGAGAAACATGTTTGAAACTGGGAATTTTGACAGAAGAATAAATGTCCTTCTTTTTCTGTTTCCAAACCTAAAAGCTCATTGTTCTCTTTCATTCACAAAAAATTTTGCAAGAATTTCTGGCGGGCAGTAAAAAAATTTGGTTTTTAAAATTTAAATAAAAAATTGGCATCAGATGACAAACGGGTTTAAGTTTCAAAAATTTATTTTTTTTTTGGGAAATTTGTTAAAAGAAAATAATATTAGAACGTCAAATTTTATGATTTTTGCTACGGGTTTTAAACCCTGATTAGTTTTAAAAAAGGGGTTTAAAATTTACATATGGTATGGTTTTCAAAAAGCCCTCTCGGGGTTTCCGGGGTTTCGGGGGAAGAACAAAAAAGGGTGGGTAATCTATTTTGAAATTATTGGAAAATTAAAAAGTTTATTTTGGTCAATTGGAAAAAATTAAAAAATGCAAATTTTGTATAGGAAAAAATCCTGTTTTTTATATGGAGATTTGGCCCTTTAAAAAGAGGGTGTCCAGTTAAAATTGGGGAATATTGTTTGTTCGGGTTTATGGAAAAAGCATAAATTGTTCCGGAACTCTGTTCTGTCTATTAATGTAGATGACATCGGCATAAAAAATGTTAAATTTACAAAATATTTACCAATGTTTCATCATCTTGAAAAAATTGAAATAAAATATGAATTTCAATTTCAACCGTTCTTAAAAACACAAAGTGATAGTACACAGAGTAATGAACAGATGATTGATGAGATAAACAATTGTGTTTCTGAGACAATAAAAGTAAATACTTTAACATTAAAATCTCTGTCTCTTGATGTCTCTTACACTGACGAGTATTTCCCAGTGTGTAAAACAGTTGTTAGTTACCTACCTAGTATGATCAATCTTGTAGCAATACGTATGAGTCTTATAACAATGAGTCATGATGATACTACTACATTTTGTAATTTTCTTGAGAGAACCAGTCATCTTGAACAAATACATCTTGATAATGTTGCATGTATGTGTAGGAACCAGCATGATGTAAATTTATCAAAACATAAAAACAACTTAAAGAAAACCTTTTTTTGTTTTGAAAACTGTTAGTGTTTAGATGCTGATTAACAAACCTTGAAATATTTACTTTTTAGAAAAATTTTGAAAGATAGAAAATTGTTTTTAAAAAATTTTTGGGATTTATTAGAAAATCTAACAAAAAAAAAAGGAATTTGGGAATTTTGTAATGGGTATACCAAATATCTAAAATTATTTTATCCCAACTTTTAACAAAAAAGACTAGTAAAGGTTTTAAACCATTGTTAAAAACAATTCAGTAAGTTTGGGATTTTCCCAGTATTGTGGGGTTACTGACAATAAATAAAATTTTAAACCTTTAGAAAATTGAAGATTTTAAAAGAACATTAAGCTTTATTATGTCAAAAGGGATTTTGGGACAACAGGGCCCAAAAGGGTTTGTTGATAGTTTTCCCTCTAAGTCCTCACACTGTATTTTGTGAGATTTAGAGCACTTGATATAAACGGGGAGTTTGGTGAAAGAGTTTTAATGATGGTATGTTTAAACAGTGATATATGAAGGACTTAGAGGAGCGAAGGGAAATGATGCTATACAGTATGTAAAAGATAAGGATCAGTTATTTCATGTTAAACAGGATGATACTATTTGGTTTGTATTTTCAACAAAAAAAGTAAACTTGTAGTAAACATAAATTATTGCATGTTAAAAGAGATGATTTGTTTGAATTTTCAACAAAAAGGGGATAAAAGTATCAATTTAGAACACATGAAGTGTTTAAACTAAATTATTAAAAAGAGATTGATAATTTGGTTTTTTCATTTTCAACAAAAAAAATGATCTGAATGTTTAACATAGTGAGATAGAATACATGCAGTTAACATAGTGCTAATAATCTAAATTATTTCATGATAAAAGACATAATTATTAAAATAAACATTATCAGCAAAAAAAAATACTTAAGTTACATATTGATATGTTAAATAATGAATGTAATCCAATATGATAGATAACAATCATCAAAAACAGTTCATTAAATATCAATTTCTGATCATTGTAGTAATATTGAAATTGATGAAAGTAATACCAGTTATATGATATATAAGACAAGGGAATGGTATATAAATACCAGTTATATGATATATAAGACAAGGGAATGGTATATATAAATACCAGTTATATGATATATAAGACAAGGGAATGGTATATATAAATACCAGTTATATGATATATAAGACAAGGGAATGGTATATATAAATACCAGTTATATGATATATAAGATAAGGGAATGGTATATATAAATACCAGTTATATGAGAAATATGTCAAGAGAATGGTATATATCAATACCAGTTATATGATATATAGGACAAGGGAATGGTATATATGAATAAAAATTATATGATATATAAGACAAGGGAATGGTATAAAGGAATACCAGTAATATGATATAAAGGACAAGGGAATGGTATATATAAATACCAGTAATATGATATATAAGACAAGGGAATGGTATATATCAATACCAGTTATATGGTATATAAGACAAGGGAATGGTATATATAAATACCAGTTATATGACATTTAGAACAATGGAATGGTATATATGAATACCAGTTATATGATATATAGGACAAGTGTTTGGTATATAAAAATACCATATATGTATATTATATGTTAAATATGCAAAGGAAATGGTATATATCAATACCAGTTATAAGATGTAAAGGAAAATGGAATGGTATAAATGAATACCAGTTATATGTTATATAAAGCAAAGGAATGTTATATGTAAATTCCTGTTATACAATATTTAGACAATGGAATTATTTATATCAACACCAGTTATATGATATATAGGACAATGGAATGGTATATATAAATACCTGTTAGATGATATATAGGACAAGTAAATTGTTTCATTGAGATGAGGACCATTTACATGTTATATTTTAGAGATTCCTTCTTTGATTGTTTTATATTGTAAAGATTGTAAAAATTTACAAATTGTAATTATGGAAAACCATAAATGTGTACAAGTTAATACTGTTAGTCAGTATCATTCAAACAGTATCGTTAAAGGGATAATATTTTCTTAATTTCTTGACATGATAGGACAGGAGTTATTTTGTTGAGGTTTCATACTATTTGAAGAAGATATATTATTTTTCATGTAAAAAATTTGTATGCAAAATATCAGATTATTTGCTCACTTTGTTTTTCCAAAATACTAGTAATCGTTTAAGCTCGACAATTCAATGAGTAGTTAATGCTATAACAGTACTTACCGCATTGGCGTCAAACTTAGGTTACTTTTATGTGTGCAAGTTGGTATCTAAAAAACTACTGAAAGAAAATTTCAATTGACATTCTTGTTCTTTAACATGACTAACACAAATCCCATACCTCTGATATTTTTTTCCTCATATTCATTCCCCTTTTACGACTTAAAAAATCTTGGTTAAGTTTTTATGTATAAGAGTGGATTAGAACTTCACACACATATATGAGAGTAAAAGGAAGTCACTTTCCGAGCACATATATATTTTACAGAAAAAGTTCCCTTTTTGAAGTTCTGCATTATCCATCACTGTGGATAGTCAAGCACAATGTCCTGTCAACAGTGTTTAAATGTTTATAGCTAAAGTCTGTCTGAAAATTACACTTCATTAATATCGATTTTCAATTTTATTCCGAGTATATATCTTTAGTATCATTTTTTTCCTTATTCAATATCCCGATTGATCAGTTTTGGCTTTTCTATTTTTAGCTCACCTGTCACAAAGTGACAGGGTGAGCTTTTGTGATCGCTTTACGTCCGGCGTCCGTCCGTCGTCCGTCCGTCGTCCGTCCGTAAACTTTTGCTTTAAATGACATCTCCTCATAAACCACTGAGCCAATTTCATCCAAACTTCACAGGAATGTTCCTTTGGTGGTCACCTTCAAAAATTGTTCAAAGAATTTAATTCCATGCAGAACTCTGGTTGCCATGGCAACCGAAAGAAAAATCTTTAAATATCTTCTTTTAAACAACCCTAAGAGCTAGAGCTTAGATATTTGGCATGAAACATCTTCTAATGAGTGTCTACCAAATGTGTTCAAATAAAAGCCCTGGGGTCAAAATTGGCCCCGCCCCAGGGGGTCATTGATTTTCCCTATATGCATATAGTAAAAACTTAAAAAATCTTCTTTTAAAGAACCCACAGAGCTAGAGCTAAGATATTTGGCATGAAACATCTTCTAGTGGGTGTCTACCAAGTTTGTTCAAATAAAAGCCCTGGGGTCAAAATTGGCCCTGCCCCAGGGGGTCATTGATTTTCCCTATATGCATATAGTAAAAACTTTAAAAATCTTCTTTTAAAGAACCCAAAGAGCTAGAGCTAAGATATTTAGCATGAAACATGTTCTAATGGGTGTCTACCAAGTATGTTCAAATAAAAGCCCTGGGTTCAAAACTGGCCCCGTCCCGGGGGTCATTGATTTTCCTTATATGTGTATAGCAAAAACTTAAAAATCTTCTTTGAAAAAACCCAAATAGCTAGAGTTCAGATATTAAGCATGAAACATCTTTAAGTAAATATCTACAAAGTTTGTTCAAATAAAAGCCTGGGGGTCAAAACTGGCCCTGCCCCAGGGGTGTTATTGTTTTTAACTATATGTGTATAGTAAAAACTTAAAAAATCTTCTTTTAAAAAACCCAATGAGCTAGAACTTAGATGTTTAGCATGAAACATCTTCTTATGGGTGTCTACGAAGTCTGTTCAAATAAACAAATAAAAGCCCTTGGGTAAAATTGGCCCGGGGGGGGCTATATACAGGTGAGCGACCTCAGGGCCATCATGGCCCTCTTGTTATTCTTTATTGTTTAACCTCAGTGGAGCTCCTTTAAGTGAACTATTTATTGTTTATGTTAGAATGATAATTTTAAACACTAAGCAAGTATAGATATATCTTGCTGTAAATTTATATGTACTAGTATATACTGTAACTACATAGACAGTATAACATAAGTTTTAATCAAAAAATGTTATACACCGTAGATGTAAATATGAATTTTAGCTCACCTCACCTGTCACAAAGTGACATAGTGAGCCATTGTGATCGCTTTTTGTCCGGCGTCCGACCGGCGTAAATTTTTACTTTAAACGACATCTCCTCATAAACCGCTAAGCCAGTTTCATTAGAACTTCACAAAAATAATCCTTTGGTATTCAACTTTAAAAATTCTTCAAAATTTTATTCCATACAGAACTCTGGCTGCCATTGCAACCGAAAGAAAAAAACATAAAAGTTTTCTTACAGAAAAACTTAAATATTTGGCATGAAACATTGTCTAGTCAGTGTCTACCAAGTTGTTCAAATAAATTCCCAGGGGTCAAAAATAGGGGGGGGGGGTCATTGATTTTCCTTATACATACCAGTTCTCAGCTGCCCCTTGGTGATATATACCAGTTCTCAGCTGTGCCTTAGGGATATATACCAGTTCTCAGCTGCCCCTTGGGGATATATACCAATTCTCAGCTGTCCCTCAGGGATATATACCAGTTCTTGCTGTCCCTTGGGGATATATACCAGTTCTCGCTGTCCCTCAGGGATATATACCAGTTCTCAGCTGTCCCTCAGGGATATATACCAATTCTCAGCTGTCCCTCAGGGATATATACCTGTTCACAGCTGTCCCTTAGGGATATATACCTGTTCACAACTGTCCCTCAGGGATATATACCAATTCTCAGCTGTCCCTCAGGGATATATACCAGTTCTTTCTGCCCTTGGGGATATTACCAGTTCACAGGTGCCCCACGGGGATAAAAACAAGTTCTTAGCTAATCCTCGGATAAGTTCTCGGCATGGTTTATACCTGTTCTTGACTGCCCCTTGGGGGATATATATAAATTCTCGACTACCCCCAGTGGGGGATGTATTCCAGTTTTCATCATAAGTCAGTGCAGGAATATAATAAGTCTCAGCTATACCTGAGGGATATATACCAGCTCTCGGATGTCAATATGCTCTTTCACACAGACAGCCATATTTTATAAAGTTATATACTATCAGATATTTATGTTCATAGATAATTTATGTAACGGTTCAATTAGAACTTTTTAATTAAACAATTGGTCATATTTTAGTACCAAGACATTATAACATTATAGGCATACATAAGTTATATTTCTGCTGATGTTAACATAATTATGATATGTTAGTTTACATGTATTGTAAAACATATGTTACATGAAATTACTCAAAAGTTATGTTGTAATCTTGTGTCTAAAAATGCATCCAGGGTAATTAAAGCATACTGGTTATGAATACACTTCATTCGTGATGAATTTAGTTCAGCCAAATCTGTACGTATGGGTTCCGACAATGCTAAAATATATATTAGATGTTTTCAGACAGTAAAGATATAACTATATTTTATTATAGGTATGTAAGATTTTTATGCTTGCTGATGTTAGTATATACCAAGATTAAGATATGTTATATATAAATATAGTTTACACATGTCTGTTTGTTACATGAAAGTTTGAAACATGAAATTCTGATTGAATGTATCTAGTACATAATGTAAACATATTATTTCATGTTAATAAATGTTTATTGTATAATTACATACTATTGCAATCCTTTTATGAAAATAAGATAATACTATTTTACATAAAGAAAGGTTTTGTGACATGTGACTATACGTACATTTGAAAATGTTATACGTGTTTGCTTTAAAGGCCCATTAAGCCTTAAAAAATGCAATCACTTTTATTTTTCAAAAGCTTATTTTTTTGTGTCCAAAGAGTCTTTCATTGTCCATATAGCACAGCCATCATTTGTTTGTTTTGCATTTATTCATGTTTGATTTAAAGGCCCATTAAGCTTAGAAAATGCAGAATGTTATTTTTCAAAAGTTTTTATTTTTGGTGTCCAAAACGTCTTTCATAGGCCATATATCTAAGCCAACTTGTGTTTGTTTTGCATTTTAGCAACCAGTACAATTATGATGAATAAGTATTATATATGGAAGTCAAAATTACATTTTTTTTTACATTTTGCATCTCTATTAACAAACTCAATTTTTTGGCAGGTGATAAAAATAGCACTTTTTCTAAATATATTAGTACAACATTATAAAACACATATTGGCCCTTTTACAAAAATAAAAATCTATTCATTTCTGAGGCGAAATGTGCCTTTAAACTTTAAATGTATATGTAGAGAAAATTCATCTGGTATATAAGTAAACATACAATTACATGAAGATGTTATTAATTGTTAACTAGATATATGAATGTTTATCTTTATTTCATGCTTAGATTTGTTATGTCTTGTGAACATATGCATCAGACATGTTTGTTTGTGACTTGGAATCTAGATTTTACAATTCTAGTATATTTGTAAACATTCAAATTACATGTACTCATAACAAATCTATATTGTCCATGTTTATGCATAAACAATTCTATATGAAGTTAAGATAAGTTCATGCTGTAATATGTTATGTCAATTGTACATTATATATTAACTATGTCTGTTTAGTGAATATTGTATGATTAAATCCATCTCATACATTTATAATCCTTTAATTACATATACTTGGTAACTTATATATTTATTGTTTTGGCCATGTTTATGCTAAAACAATACTACCGTATATGAAGTTAAGATAAGTTCATGCTCGAATATGTCGATTGTACATATACATATATACAAAACATGACTGTCTAAAACATGAATTGTTTATGGAAAACAGTATTCAGTATATGATCTTATCATGGAAGCTTCATAGAGAGCATTATACTGTTTTTGTTATTAATGTAGTACTATTAAATAAATCATGTTTGTTTGATTGGTTTTGATAGCATGAATGTGTGACTTTTCTTAATAAAAGATTGTACAAAATGTGATTTGTGTATCATTTGTTTTTCCTCTCTTGCAGAACAAGTTGGTTTATAAACCTTGTCAAATATTTACTTCCCACTATTTCCATATATAGCAAAGACTAAGCTGCCAGTACATAAATAACGTTTGTAAAATATATGCACTGTACTAGGGATGAGACATTGACTGATGAAAAAAAAACGTTTGTAAAATATATGCACTGTACTAGGAATGAGACATTGACTGGTGAAATAACATTTGTAAAATATATGGACTGTACTAGAAATGAGACATTGACTGGTGATATAACGTTTGTAAAATATATGCACTGTAGACTCGTGAAAAAACGTGTAAGATAAAACGCAATCGACAAGTCTACAAAATGCATTAACACATGATATATACAAGGCGTTACAGTTATAAGATGTCACATATGACTTTATACAAATTATTTCAATTTTGTAAATACGTTGTTACTGCATGTGATATGATCCGAGTTTTCTCCTTATAGTATATATTATAAAGCTGAATGTTATTCTATGATCCGGGTGCATTATAAGTAAGTCTGAGAAATCTTGCATAAATAACAACAAAATTACTTGAAAATTTACTCGGTTTGCTTGTATGACTTGATTGTGTCGGGGGACTGCGTTCCGTGGATGTCACCTTGCATTGATCTTTGTTCTCATTGTTTTGTTATCGAGTCTGTACACGAGGAATGATGATAAAGTACAACCTCCCTCACGCCCCATAGCACCGGCTTGAGTAGTACTTAATAATTTTCAACACACAAAAGTGTTGGAATCAAAGGTCTAGAAAGTAAAAAAAAAGACAACAACAACAACACTGAAATAGTACGGCTGCTACACAGAACTTGACACCTGCTGTTTTGAAGTATAAAAAATCAGCAAAAAGTTTGATCTTCTGGAAGCATATAATCACAATTCCTTTTGAAATAGTAAAAAAGTTCTACATCCCTCACGCCTCCTAGCACTGGCTTGAGCGGTGCCCCATTGGCAACATTGTTGGAATCACTTGGAATAAAGTTATACCAAGTTGGAATCAAGTTATATTATCATCACTATGTAAGTGGAGATACATAATTATGTACCTCTTTAGCCCACCCATAGATTGAGTTATGACAGGTCCAGTTAAATTAAATGTGTAACTGTGTTTATTTTATGATATGACAGAAAAATGCCCTGTCACATATATAATTATAATATCATTAGGAGAAATACTGAAAAAAATTACATTATGGGGCGATAAAAATAATCCAGGGAGACTAATACTGTTCGTATACATGTATGTATCAAAATACTTAATTTGTACATTCGGTAATAACAATTTGAGGGAGACTAATCATGCATTTATATTAATCTTTTTACAAGGATAAATTCCCTTTGATCATATTTCAGGTAGCCATACATATAAATTATTTTTTTTTAAATGCGGCGGCTTAAAAACAAGTTTTCTGTTTTCTTATAAAGTGATCACATGAATGGGTGTAACATTTTACAAGGTTACGTTCATTACCATTCATGGATACATCTTTGCTCTAATCACTTTACCTGTATTAAAGGACAAAGGGACACCTGAGGTCTTCCTCAATCATTAGAGCTGGAATGTCGTCTTGTGATCTGTTAAAAATGGCGTTATTTTTAAGGAAAGGCCTACATCGACTTAACCTGTAATAAGAAATGCAGCTCCCGAAAGACAATTTGAGCATTCTCTTGTTGAAAAATCCGGAAAGAAAGTGATCCCTCGGAAGCATTAATCACAACAAAATTACATAAGAATTGCAGACTCGGTTTGATTGAGTCTGTTCATGAGGGATACTGAAAAAGAGCAACTTCCTCACGCCCCCTAGCACCGGCTTAAGCGGTACTCGATTCTCAACACTTAATAGTGCTGGTATCAATGATCCCGAAGAACCAGAAAAATATAATAACACGGAATTGAAGAACAGGGCAACTTTTTACAACTGCCACACAGCACTTGACACCTGCTGTTGTGAAGTAATAAAAATCCGACATAAACCTTTGGTAGAATTAAAAGTATTTTGCCCAAAGATGATCGAGTCTATTATATCTTTATTTTTTTCTGAAACCGACCTCGGGTCATTTAACCCTGTATGGTATGGCACATGATATCATATAATTGCAGCTGTAATTATTTTCCTATTCTTTATTTTAAGTTGTAAACTGTTCGTGTTCATTAAAATAAATATTCCACAGAATCAAACGGGTGATAACAGGTTTTGTTTGTTTGTTTGTTTCATTTTACGCTTTTTCCCCAACAATATTTCAGTCATATAGGCGGGTAGTTTCCTAACCATCGTTCCTGGATAGTTACACCAGTACTAAAATTCCTCCGTGCTAAACTATCAAAGCATCTCCCGGGGATCGAACCCACGCCAGACAAGTAACTGGATTAGACTCTAACTCCTCGACCACGGAGGCAGTGAAAAAGCAGGTACTAATTTCTTAAGTTATAGTTTTGTGGAGGATCTGCTTGTGAATTGTGTATAGGTGCAAATGTATGATGATAATAATTTCAGTATAATTATGTATAATAATGATAATGAAGATATCAGTATTATAATGAAGATATCAGAATAATAATGAAGGTATGAGAATGACAATAAAGATATTGGAATGACAATGAACTTGATAAACAAATATCTTTATTATCATTCTGAAATCTTCATTGTCATTCTGGTATGTTTATAATCATTCTTTTATCATCATTTTCATTCTGAGATTTTCATTGTTATCTTGACTTCATCCAAAAATATTTGCAAAAAAAGTAAACATAAATATATTCATAACTGTTTAAACCAGGAGACCTATTTTGACCAGTTCCGAACACGTACATGTATTTTTGATGACGGACTGTACCCAACTGAAAACGTTTCCGCGTTTTCTTATCAGAAATAAAATGTTCTTTAATGTTGAAATATATGAATGAATATATGTAAGAAAGTGTGCCAACATTTCATTTGAGGTATATGTATTAAATTATAATCATTTATTTAAAATGCGTTTACTGTAGGCCACTATATATATATATATAATATAGTAGGAAAGTCGTAACTTAAAATATCCTACCATGTTATTATTTTATAAAAAGTACTGTACGTGTAGTGTAATATTAATATACATTTATCTCTGAAAACTGAATAATGAAATAAAATGCAGAATATAGATCAAAACAAAACATGGACATGGATGTCTGTGTCAGTGTTGACAGATATTATTTAAACTAAAGATGCACGTTTGTCAGTATGGACAAAATTAAAAACATAGATTATCTATAAAAAAAGTATTTACCAGTAATGGGACTAGAACTAGTGTTGTTCAAGCATTATTGCAAAACAAAAAACTTATTTTCATCTTGGACATTGTATAAGACCTTGTTTTAAACAGAACTTTCCAGAAATAATGAGAAAAATCAAATGCATGCAATGCAATTGCAGTTCTACTTCATCTCACGCCAAGCATGGTGGTGCTTTAAAGATTGCAATACCATATACATGTATACCCCGAATGAATATTAAAATAATAAATCAGACTGAAAGTTGGCAGTGTACTTACTTAGTTTAAGTATTAGCTCGCAAAAATAGTCAAATTAATATTACAAATGGCATTTGTAACGTTATGTGCACCGGAACTTGCTTCGGAACTGGTGAAACTAACCAGATTCGATCAAGCAGTATTCTTACTAGAAAAAGATAATATATTTCCTAATACTTGTTAGGCTTGAAGTCGAATCAAATATCAACTAGCTAGCAGGTACATTTTTTAAACCAACTTTTTGTTAATTTGTAAGCAGACACCAAACGTTGAAAAACTGAACCGGAACCGGTCAAACAAATGTATCACATTTTTATAGATTTATTTTATAACAAAGTAACAGATATATTGTAATTTTTTTAACAAAAAGAAAATGCTGAGGCCATTATTATACTTAATTTTATTGCATTAAGAACACATTTACGGAAACGCTATATTATATGTTATTTTGGTTTTGGAGTGATATATGTGGATATATTACCTGTTAAGATTTTATATCACCCGAGCCGTTAGGCGAGGGTGATATTTTATCTCGGCAGGTAATATATCAACATATATCACTCCAAAACCAAAATAATAATTTCATTACCCTTCCCCTGCCGAGTTTAGACGATTTTTAAAATAATCATTGCTGTTTCAAATGAAACGTCGAAATAAGATTCCCTTTAGGATACCCCTTCGTCACAACATGACGTCACATAAATACATGACGTATTTTTCCCGTAAGTAAACAAGAGAAAAGGAGTAGTCTATTGAACGCACTTTTTTGTAATTAATATCAAGCTTTCACAAGGTCATATTTGTTTTCGATACTGATGGTTATATGTATCATAACTCTACTTTGGTAAATATTTATCATTTGACAGTTAAAAAGTGTTTTTAAATCGGAATTTACACCGGGTAAAATCGAACCGTACGCGCATCATCTCCGCGCATGTTGTTTACAACGTTGGGTACCAAACGGGGAAATTTAGTGTGTATATTACCCGTCTGGCTCGGTTATATCATTTTCTTTCGGGTGATCAATATCCAATCAAAAAGGCGGAAAAAATCTGGAAGGGTAATAAAATTTTATGTAAATCATTATATAATACATTTTACCATTGTGTTTTTTAGTTAATATAGAAAAACAATCAAAACAAAATCTATTATTTTTTTAAAAGTCCAAATGTTTCATGCTATTTTTTGCCTCATTATTTAGAAAATTAGAAATCTATATCCCGGTACAACCCGTTTCCGGCAACTTAACAAGATATCGGAGCGTAAAATACTATTTATGTTGAAGAACGTAAAAGTTTGTCATGGATATTATAAAATCGTCTTCCCGCTGATTCATGATACAAATAAAATTTACTGACGGCATTTTTTGTTTTAGTTATCCATATTCAATATGGCCGATCCAATGTCCCAAATACGGAAGTAGCACAACCTGTTTCCGGCAATTGTAGTAA